CACACACACACACAGTGACAGGGGTGGGGTGACGGGGGTTCCCCCAAAAGCTGAGTGAACTGAAACAAGGTTTTCGAGCCGTGTCTTCGTGGCGCAGAACATGTTCTGTTCTTGGGGTGCACAGAGGGGAGAGGGGGGGGGGTCTACCGTGAGTGGACCCCCCAAGTGTACAGAAGTTCATCTCCGTGTTTCAGGAAATGTAGTGCAGTCGGGGCTCAGAGTTGTACCCAGTGTGTATTTTTCTACCAGTATCCCTTCTCCAGGCTGCATTATTTTCTTCCCGATATTTGTAAACTGCAGCGGATGAGATTACACGTCTCATTTTAACCATATGGGAGGAAGGCCAGGCTGTTGGTAGTTCAACACTTGAGGTCTCTCTCCCTTTCCACTCCAACACTCAGTCTGAGGCCAGAACTGGAACTTCCAGCCAGGACTTAACCACTGGCCTCTGAGGATACCCCGTCTCTGGTAGGGAACAGCTCGTTCAACTGTGGTAGCGCCCCTGTATTCTGGTGGAATGTCCCCATTAAAGAACACCATGAAAAAAAAACCACTAATGACTCTTCAGCAAAGGAAATGTTCGTCTTTGAATGGTGGGGGAAACCCTTTCACAGTGTTATGTTTTTTTTAAGTCCTTCAGATGTTCGTTTTCAGAAATGAAACGAGTGGAGGGCCATCAGATGATGCTGCCTTAATGTTCGTTTTCTCGACAGCCGGAGATAAGGAATAATACAGCCAGGCAGTGTCCCGGGACATCGCTTCTGACAGACCTCTCGAGCTCTCTCGGGGCTTCTGGCTGGCCCAGTGTGGAGCTGCCCTCCCAGTGGCTGCCTCGTGCTTTCTGTTGGCCTGCGCCTGCTTTAGTTTCATCTAAAGACACACGAAACAATGCTTTACAATGATGAAGGCATATAATTTAATTACACAAGTAATACAATGTTGTTGATTATTCTGTTGGGTTTTATCATGGGCAAGTTACGTATGGTATTTATCGTGTTTATTCATTGAATCTATCTATTCATAAGGCCATAAGAATAGTTACACAGGAGGGTCATTCAGTCCATG